GCAGCGCGGAGGCACCTGCGCGGGGGCGGGCGCAGCTCCAGCCCGCAGCGGAGCCCCGCGGCCGCGCGGAGCCTCCAGTGCCCGGTAGGACCTGGCGTCGGGCCGGGCAGGGGGAACCGCGTCCCTCGGGAGGGGTGGGTGGTTGCAGGGGGAAGGGTCGTGGTCTGAGGGGTCCTGAGCTCCCCTCACCCGCGCCGCGGTGCTGCTGGCCCGGGATAGAGACGCGCTGGCCCCCTGGGTGCCATCGGGCACCGCTCCAGGCTCCCAGGCAGCGTTTGCTGCAGCTCGGGTTGGGGTCCTTGGACAGGGTCTCCCATCCCGCTCCCCGCGGGATGCAGCTTCCCAAGGCGGCAGCAGCAGCAGGGCCGAGGCAGCCCGGGCTCCTGGACGGGCAGGCAAGTGTTGCCCCTCGGGCAGGGCAGGGTCTGGCACCTCCCTCAAGCAGCCCCGCACGCTCAGAGCAGTGACCACACCAGGCTGAAAAGTTTAAAAAAATATTTATTGATATACTAAAAATAACAGCAGTGGAAAAGTTATACAAAAAACACCGCCTGACATACCACCTTCTAGTGTTTTCCTGCGAAATAAATTAGAAGCAGCCTAGAGGTCTCGAGTCTAAACTAGCATTAACGTCCCAAAGAACTAGAAAACACCTATCACAAACTGTGAGCAAGGCAACAGGGGGTCAGGAGAGCCCCGTGGGCAGCCGAGCTGCCAGCCGCAGCCCTTCGTTAGCGGTAGCCCTTCGTTAGCGGTAGCTCTTCGTTAGCATGCGGCCGGCGGCTGGCCCGCTCTGACAAAGAGACGCAGCTTTCCCAGGGTAATAACATCTCCAACTTTTGTTCTTGGAAAGTAAAAGCAAACAAACAGCTGTATTTAAAGCAATTATAAGTGTCATACAGGAACGATTTGGCTCTCCCTTAATTAAAACATACAAATCAGAGCAGTGACTGGCACAAGTTACAAGAACAATTGTTTGTTTTCACCCATCTCTCGATTTCTTTCAGTAAAAACCTTCTCTCTCTCCAGTTCCAGAGCCTTTCACGCCCAGATCAGAAACTCAAAGCACAAAGAACCCCCCAAACCATCCCCATTCCTCCGCAAACTCCAGTTTTCTTTTTGGTACAAAATATATATATAAAAATAGACTAAACTTCTAAGGAAGATGACTGAATTGGCCACCTCTTCCAGTCCAATGGAAAACAACAAGTATACTTAACCAGATTATGCCTGGAGAAAATATCCATTCAATATAGAAATACTGCAGGACTTTCCACATCGGAAACCCCTTAGAAAATGACAAGTGACAAACCTTTAATTGGCTGTTTGACATACAACTAAACACTCAAACCCATAGCAGCAAACTTAAAAAAGAATAGTTAAAAAAAAAAAAAGGTAGACCTTGAATACTAATGGTACTGACTGGTAAACATGGTTCGCACCAGCTTTCAACCTCTGCCCACAAAAGATTACATTAAGTTACTCACATAATGCGCCTTTGAAAGGCAAAGCCAGCACGAAACATCCACTCAGACACCCCAGTGATGCTGGGGGAATCAGGATCCTGACACATGGGGTTGGCCAGAGCCTTGGGGAAGGGCAGGATGAGATGAAGTTTAATGAAGTTTCTGGATTATCATTTTCACCGTGTTAAAACTTTGGACTCAAACCAGCCGGTTAGCAGAAAGGCACAATAGCGAGAGCAGGGGGAGCAGAGCCGGCGGGACAAAGCCGCCCATTGCTGGGGTGCTCAGCGGGTCCCGGGAGCGTCACCCTGGCCCTGAGTGAGTCCCCAAACGCAGACACATGTTGGGTGCTTGTGGGGGGCTCTGGAGGGAGCAGCCCCCGTGGGGCCGGTGGGCAGCCAGCATGGGGTGCCGTGGCCCTAGAGCAACTCCCTCGCTCCTTATGGACTCGCAAGTCTGGCCCTTTTCCAGACCATCCTCAAAGACTTTTTTCCCCCAGAGACTGCTCGGGTGCAGCAGCCCCAGCCTCCTGTTCTTGGCACAAGCATCTCTGCTGGAGTGGGGCTCCTGGAGCTGCTGGGTGCCACGCTGGGGACCGGGAGCATCTCCTCTCACCATCGCATCACTGCTGCCCACAGGACCGCACGACCACCCAGCTTTGTATAGGCACAAACCTGTCGTGGCACCAGTGCTGCAGACAAGCCCGAAATAAGGACAGTTCCAAAAGGCACATTGTTATCGAGTTGGGATTTGCAAAGGCCAACTAGCAAATATTTGGTGTGGTGGGAAGCAAGCTGGGCACTGCCTCCGAGAGCCCCTCAACCCCGCTGCTCTCTGCGGACACGCCAGGCCCCAGCGCAGACACCCCAGCAAAGTGCCACCTGGAGCACTAATTTCTGCAACCGCAGGCTCTTTCCTTGGACTCGTCAACGCAACAGTAGTTTGTTTGGTAAAGTTAAAAACTACAAGGTAAACAGAACAGACCATGCCATTTGGCCTTGTGAAGGCCGAAGAAACCTTTCTCCCATGGGAATCTCCTTTATGGACAGTGCTCATTTCTGTCCTCGTGGCCCCAGGTGACACAGTGGCCAAGTGGCATTCGAGGCTGTGTGGCTGCACAAGAGAAGAACTGAAGATTCCCAAGAGGTCTGTGCAGATGTTCAAAGGCAAAAACAATTCCCTACCATCACGTCGAAGGCAAGCTCTGCTGCAGCACCCTGTACGCAGGCTCTGCAAGACGCCAAAACCAAAGCTGCAACCAACGGGAGGGCTGCAAAATAAACACAGAATCTAAGGGAAACTTTCTGGCTCACAGGAGTCTTTCCTGGCAACGGCTGCAGCCACCACTCAGGGAATAACCTTCCCTTTAACCACCAAGTGAAACCACTGCTGGTTTTTCATCCACCTGAGAACGGTGCTGCCGCCACCAGCCAGCGAGGCAGACTTGCAAACAAGTCTGCAGCGCCCGACGGACTCAGCAGGGTAAGAAATACATGAACCCTTGGCTGGGTCCATTTACCTCGCTGCATTGCTGTGCACCAATACTACGAGTGCCCTGTACTATGGCAAAATAAGATGCATGTCCTTGTGCCAGACCAGTGAGCTAGAAAGAGAATGATCCATGTGGAAGCTGTATGGAAATACGCAGACACATGGGCAAGTGCTCCAGGAGGCACTCGGAGGACAGACCTTAGGAGGCACTTCCAAATTACGTATCCAGAGAGACCTGGCAGACTGCAGGCATTTTGTCTTCTCTGAGAAAGGAGCTCAGCATTAACCGAAACAAAAGAAAACAATCTCAAATGCTACTGAACTTTGCCTGAACTAGAGCTGTTAATTTTGGCTTGTAAGAGAAATCTATAGCGGGGAAAAGACCTCAGTAAAAAAGCCATTATTGGTTGCAATTGCAAGACAAAATTAACAACCCTGCTGCTGGCACAGGATGGAGGGATGATGGAGGGCTGCGGAAGGCCCTGCCGCTCCTCGGGAACGGGCTGTGGTGGCAACGGGGACCTGGGGACCTTCCCATCCCTGCACAAGCTCCGCTCCTCAGCTGAACTTCAGCACTAACCGCACAGAGCAGGGAGACCAGCCCACTCACGCTCAAAGCGATGGCACCTTCTGCAGGGCTTAACAACAGCAACATATTCCCCGCGTTGGTCCCTACAAGTGCCTGGGAACTGCTAGAGTGAAGGGAAAAGGGCAGTGACTCCAGGCCAAGGCGGAGGAGCGGCGCTGGGGCTCACTGGGCTGCACCACAATTAATCCTCTGGATTTGGATTTCTCTTTCATCTGGAAGCCAAGTCCCTGCAAGGAAAGTGGTAACTCCTGCCCTTGCCTAGCGAGGAGATATCTACTGCCTGTAGGAGCACCCAGGGCTCAGTCCTGAAACAGCGAGCGCTCAGTTTGCTTCCCTTCCTCCAAACCACGCCCCCCCTTTTTTTTTTTTAACTTTTTTTTTATATATATATATATATAAATGTAAACAATATATCCACATCAGCTGGAAATCACAACAAAAATGCTGTAGACTTCACCATCATTGGAACTGACCTAGCCCAGGAGGGCGGCTGGGCTTAATGTACCCTGAAAAACCCCCGTGCTACAGCTGCCCCCACAGACCTCCGCAGCGGGGACACTGGCTGTGTCATTTGGATTGACTTGTGCCTATCCTGGTGCCTCCAGGCAGCTTTCTGCGGAGCCCTGGGAAAGGAAGGAGAGGGGCTCCTTCCCTCCTGGCACACAGGGGTGTCACCCCCCTACTCCTGTGCTGCAAACCTCGTGTTCGGCCATTTCAAGGGGAAAAGCAAAGAAAACCACGTGCAGTGAAACCTGGCTCCAGAGCTGCCCTCCGCTCCTGGGAATGCCCCGAATGGGGGCATCAGCAAGGAAGAAGATGAGCATGGAGGAATCCTGATGGCTCTGGCATCTCTGAGCAGGTTTCACTGCGTCTTTCTTCTGAAGCCCCCGGACCCGGGTCTCAGGAGGTCTCAAGAGTGTCCCCAGGTGCTGCAGGCAGTGTCCAAGGCAGCAGTGGCTGCAGCACAGGCCACCGTGGTGCAGAAAAGGAAGGCACAGCTCCCCTCCACCGCTGCGGGCAGGACAGGACGCGCACCTCCGCACGGGGCACGCGCTCCGAGAAGGGGAAAGACCTGAAGGAAGAGCTGGGCAGAGCGGAGGGGCCTCCCGCCTCGTCCTGCGCTCCCTGGCTCAGTATTGCCGCAGGTTGAAAAAGCCCACGCTGGTGGGGGACTCCTTGACTGTCACTGTGATGAGGTTGGCGGTGACGTCCGTGACAAAGACGTGCTCGATGAGGCTGCGGGTGGGCTTCCAGTCCTGGCTCGTCTGGATGGACACGGACATGTTCTGTCCCACGCCCGGGAAGGAGGCCGAATCCCGGTCGGAGTCTGAGCTGGTCTCCTCGCCCGTGCTCACTTCGGAGAGGGCT